GTATCGGGGAGTTGCTGGTGTACGGGGGGGTCCATCGGGGAGTTGGTGTACCGGGGAGTTGCTGGTGTACGGGTGGGTTTATCGGTGAGTCATACGTGGGGGTGTACCGGGGAGTTGCTGGTGTACGGGGGGGTGTATCGGGGAGTTGCTGGTGTACGGGGGGGTGTATCGGGGTGTTGTTGTCCCCCAGGGCCTAGACCGTAAGAACCAGGCTGACCATGTGGCGGTGAGGCAGGACCTGCCCCCGGCTGGGGTTGAACATGGGCCCTGTGGGGACTCTGGATCCTCTTCCCATGACCTGGACTAGCAGCTAGATGTCCCCGAAGGGGTTAACAGCCTGGTTTGTCCTCACTGGTCCCTCCTCCCCCCTTGGCCCCATTCTTTGGCTTTAAAGCCCCTTATAGACCAGCTAAATCGGAGCCGGGGCAGGTGCTAAGCGGCCGTGCCTGCCTGTTACCGTACCGTCCCGTATACAACGCGCCCCCTCTGGTTTTTGGAAGGCAGAAGGAGCGGGGAGGGAGGCACTCTTTTCTCATCGAGGGTAGCAGCCGCAATGGGTTTGGGCCTGACCCCGGGCTCGCGGGCAGATCCAACACAACTGGCTCGTACCGTATTTCTCTCGTAGAACGTGCCCCACAATGTCCAGCAGGTTTAATGTGGGAGAGCGTGCAGTGTGCGCTGGACGCCTTGGCAGTGCAATCCCAGGGAGTCCCATCCAGTCCGCCCCCGGGCAGGATCAGGCCCACCTGACCCGGGGGAAGCGACCTGTTCGCGATCCACCCTCGCAGCCAGCTCCCAGCCCCGGACCTTTAAGGGGCTCCAGGTGAGGCCGGGGGCCCGGCCACTGGTCCTGTCCCCAGCAGGCACCGGGTAGTGTCTGCCCCTGGGTCCGGCCCAGGGGGGCCGAGGCGGCTCAGAGAAGCCCCATCCAGGCTGGTGCTGGCCCTGTCCTAGCCCTTCCTCTGCCCCCTTTACACCCCACGGCTCCTCGGGATGCACTGGAATGACTTGCACCCGCCAGGCGTTTGACCCCCTCGGGTGAAAATTGGGGCAAAAAGGGTTTGGATGGGGGGAATAATTGGGCTTTTTTTTTTTTGGCTTGGAAAGAAAGGCTTTTGGCAACCTGGACGACCCTGGCAGCCTGCCAGCAGAGGCTGTGATTTAGCTCTTGGCTTTCTCCTTAATGAGGGGAATGGCTCTTATTTGCATATATGCAAATCAGAGCCCTGCAAGAGACAAAGCAACCCCAAAGCCAGCCCCGTCCCCTGTCGGCTCCGAGGCGGCCGTGACCTCTGTCCGGTCCCAGCCCGCTGCCTGCGGGTAGTGCGGCCGCTGCCCCGCGCAGAAGAGCCCTCCGGGTCCTGTGTTTTGGGGGCAGGATCCGTGCTGGGGCAAGAAACCGGTTAATGTAGCAGAAAACTCCCTCGTTACTCTGTCCCCGTGTAGGCGGCTCTCCCCAGTGACACCAGACTCCGGCCTCGTGCCCTCCTTCCTTTGTCTTTATTGAAACCTGAGCAAAGGAGAAGCTTCCTAAACAACAACGCTGTCTAATTGAGGGCCTCATTAACGAGAGACGGCTCGGAAATAGTCCATCATCCGGAGAGGCCACGGATCTGCCCTGGGCCGAAGACGTCCAGGTCCCGCGAAGCCTCGTCCCGGCGGCGATGGCGCTCGGGGAGCCGGCTGCGTCTCTGCGGCTCCTTCCTTCCAGCTGGAGACTCCTGCAGAAAGGCTCCCTGCCCCGGGGCGCAGGCGGGACGTGCATTCGCCTTCGCCCGGCAGGGTCCCCCCAGGCAGCCGAGATCGGTG